GGAAGGGAAAGGAAAGGAAAGGAAAGGAAAGAAGGAAGGGAAGGGAAGGGAAAGGAGAGGAGAAGAAAGGAAAGGAAAGGAAAGGAAAGGAAAGGAAAGGAAAGGAAAGGAAAGGAAAGGAAAGGAAAGGAAAGGGGTATGCAGAGAAGGGAAGAAGGCAGCTTTGGGCTCCTTGGTGCTCTCTGAGCCTGGTTGTTTCCTTGCAGACATTTCATGACCCAACTAGGGAACACAGTCAGTGCTAGAAGGGAGTGGGGCTTGCAGAGAGGAGGAGGAGGAGGAAGTGGACAGCTGTGGGGTCCTTGGTGCTCCTCCTCATGTCTGTCCTTCCCTGTTAGTCGCCTTGCCTTCCTAAAGATTTGGAGAACAAGATTGTTTCGTTCCTTCTAGTCAAAGACGTGCAGGTCCTTTTAATAGATACTGAAGCATAGCACCCTATTATTTCCCCCCCCCCCCCCATTTAATTACATGCCCCATTAAAGTGAGCTGCTGATCTATCAAAATGAAATATCGCTGGGAAAACGGTGGCGTTTCTCTTCTTCCCGCTTTTGCTATGGGGTCTTGCACAAGTTCCGTTTGGCGCAGATTAAAAATGCTCTGGAACTTGCAACAAAAGATACGGTGGTTGGGTTGGCTATTCCGATCTTGGAAGACCAGGCCGAGCTGTGTACGGATAAAGGAGCGCACCCCAGAGAATGAATTTAAACAAAAATTAAGGTATGGATGAAGTCCTTGGGGCTCTCTGAGCTGGGTGGTTTTCTTGCCGACATTTCAGTACCAAACTAGATAACGTCATCAGTTCTAGAAGGGAGTGGAGGTTTGCAAGGAGGAGGAGGAGGAGGAGGAGGAAGAAGAATATGGGTTCCTTAGCGCTCTCTGAGCTTGGTGGTTTTCTTGCCGACATTTCACGGCCCAGCTAGGGAACGTAATCAGTGCTAGAAGGAAGGAGGGGTTTGTTCTCTCTTTATAGAGAAGTGGCTTGCCCCGTTGATGTGGGTGGGGCTGGTTTTGGGGGGGGGGGTTTCCCCTGTTTAGGCTGTTATTTATTGTTTGATTGTTTGTCTGAGTTGGTAGTTCCTTGGTTGGGGTGTTGTTTCCTTTTTGATTGAAACTCTGGGGTTAATCATTTGCCAGCTCTTGAACAGGCTAGCATCCATCTTGGGTTTGTGTCTCTGTTGAGTAGTTGCCATAGGGGAACCTGAGGCCCTGAGCTTGTGTCACAGTCAGCAGCTGATGGGAGAATGGCACTGGGGGTAAAGCATCTCATATTTTGCACAGTGGATGGAGCTATGGATGAAGTCTTCCTCTTCTTCTCTTTCTTCCTCTCCTCTCCTCTCCCTTTCCTTTCCTTCTTTCCTTTCCTTTCCTTTCCTTTCCTTTCCTTTCCTTTCCTTTCCTTTCCTTTCTCTCTTCCTTTTATTTTTTCTTCCTCCTTTAATCTTTCCTTTCAGCCATCTTCTCCTTTCTCCTTCCTTTACCTCCCTTCCTTCCTCCCCACCCCTCCTCCCCCTTTCCCTTCCCTTTCCCCTCCCCTTCCCTTTCCTCTCGTCCTTGCCCCTCTCCATCCCTTTATCCTCCCCTTCCCTTTCCTTCCCTCTTTCCCTCCCCTTTCCTTTCCTGCCTCCTCCTTTAATCTTTTCTTCCTCCTCCTTTTTACCTTTCCTTTCTGCCATCTTCCTTTTTTCCTTCCTTCCTTCCTTCCTTCCTTCCTTCCTTCCTTCCTTCCTTCCTTCCTTCCTTCCTTCCTTCCTTCCTTCCTTCCTTCCTTCCTTCCTTCCCTCTTAAGATCAACCTTCCTTCTTCCCTCCTTTCCTTCCTTGCTTCCTTGTTTCCTTCCTTCCTTTCTTTCCTCCCTCTTAAAATCAACTTCCCTCCTTCCTTCCCTTCCTTCCTTCCTTCCTTCATTCCTCCCTCCCCTTCTTCTCTACCCTACCCCTTCTTTCCCTTCCCTCCCTTTCCTGCCTCCTCCTTTTATCTTTTCTTCCTCCTCCTCCTCCTCCTTTTTACCTCTCCTCTCTCCCGTCTTCCTCCCCTCCCTGGTCCTGTGGTCCATGCGGCTTCTCCTCCTCTCCCCCTTGGTCCTCTTTCACCTGCTCTCCTCTCTCTTCCTCCTGCAGATGGTCCCCAAGCCCATCGCCCTGGAGCCTTGTTTTGGCAACAAAGCGGCCGTCCTTTCCGTCTTCGTGAGGTTGCCAAGAGGCCTGGGTGGCATCCCTCCACCTGGGCAGTCAGGTAAGTCCGGTCCAGGTTCCGTGGGGGCCCGTCCGCTTCCCTTCCTCCAGATCCCTTGAGACCTCACGGATGATCCTGCATCGAAGGATCTCTTTGTGGATGGGCCCCTGGGTGCTTTCCCTGCGCTGGGGAGCCACCTGATTGGACAGACAGGGACGCTCTGATGGGCGCCTTGGGTTGAGAAGCAGAAATAATGACTGCGATACTGGCCGTGTCCTCTTTGATTATGAAAGCTCTTTTGAGGCAATTTGGGTAGTCCTCGACTTGCAACCCGCTCATTTAGTGACCGTTCGAAGTTACAGCAGCACTGGAAAAAGTGACTCAGGACCGTTGTTTTTTTCACACTTAATGACCATGGCAGCAAGGGCAGCATCCCCATGGCCAAAGGATCAAAATTCAGCTGCTTGGCAAACTGACTCACCCTTACAACGCTTGCTTGCGGTGTCCCCAAGGCCGCGTGGGTCAGCTTTGGCCACTTTCTGACAGGCAAAGCCAACAGGGAGGCCAGATTCCCTTAGGCAACTGTGTCACTAACTTCACCACAGGTAGGGATGAAAGGTTTTCAAACAGACCCAAAACTCACTGACCAACTGTAATGACGACATGGGCCTATTATTCATCCTGAAAAGCCCCGCAGAGGCTTTTGCCAAGTCTCTGCAAGGCTTTTCAGGATGAATGATAGGCCAAAGTTTCATCATGATAGTTGGTTTCCAAGCATCTGGGAGGCCGAAAAAGGCCTCCAAGCAGCTGAAAAAAAATCAGTTGTGAGCCACACGCGCATGCGCAGTGAGGTAAGTTTGCCTGCGGCTCGCGTGCCACTTGTGGCACACGTGCCATAGGTTCACCATCGCGGTTTTAGCCCTTCCAGCCCCCTCATCTTCCTGGTTGCTCTTCTTTGTACTTTTTCTAGAGTCTCAACATCTTTTTTATAATGTGGTGACCAAAACTGGATGCAGCACAGTTTTATGATGATGCACCCAGAGGGGTGGGGTAAATCAGGGTCAAGGATGACAGTGAATTATGTGTCTTAGAGCCGGCTAGCTGTCAGGATTCCGTCAGTTCCCCCAATTAAATCGCGAGTCTCAAGCCAAATTTCCATCCAGCGGTTAGAATTCCTGATTTTCACCCAAATCGTGCCGGCAATGTTAACTCACAATAAATCCTTTTGAAGTTTTGGAAGTTTGGCTCAAGACTCATGATTTAATTGAGGGTAACTGCCAGAATCCTGACAGCGGCCTTGAGTTTGACACCCCTGGTGTAACTGGTCTGCAACTCTCTCTCTCTGTGTGTGTGTCTGTGTCTCTTTTTTCATCCAGGTCTTGCGGTCGCCAGTGCGTTGGTGGACATTTCACAACAACTGCCTATCACCTACAAAGACAAGTCAGGTGGGGTACGAAATAGGAAACAGCAACCTCCAGCCCAGCCCGGAACCTGTATTTGATGCATGGACATCAGAACTGCCTCTTTAGGATTTTAAACCCAAGGTTAGCCCTCGGAGAAGGACCTCCATTTTGTTTTGTTTTTGTTTCCAAAGGCCCCTGGAGGCCTCAAAGCACTTGAGAACATCCAGACGTTCTTCTTGGCGTTGGCGCCACCGCTGCCTCGGTTGGTCCCGTTCGGCGCCCGCTCCGTCTTAGACCGGCCCGATCATGTCAACGCCGGGTGGCTTCAGTGTTTTCCGGTTGCTCCCCTTCGTCGGTTTTCGACCTTCCATGGCATGTCCTTCAGCAGACTTCTCCACCCACGAAGGTTGGCATCAACCAGGAAGACGCCTACAAAAGACCGGTTTATGGAACTTGACTTTTTTCCCCCTTCCAGGTTGTCTAAGGAAGAGCGTCGCCAATACCGGTCAGTTCTCTGCCCTTGGTTGCTAGACGGCAAGAATTCAGAAGAAGCTTTCTTCCCCGGGTTCCCGATAAACCCAAGATCTCTATTTATTTCTTCTAAGAACAAGCCTTGGATTGCTGCCTCAGTGTGGTAGCATTATTTTTCTCCAAGTTCAAGGTATTAAAATTCGGGGCCGAGCAGCACTTTACGGTTGAACTCTACCCCTTGTTTCCCTTTAAAAAAATACAATCCCATTTCCAGAGGGTATTTTTGTCCCCCTCGACGTGGGCTTGTGTAGCAACGGACATCTTCTCCCGCGTCCAACGGGGTTTTACGTAGATCTAGGAAAGCATGGGATTAACGCCGTTCAGGTTTTGCACATGCTCCGTATTCTCCTTCCACCCCTGTTCTTTTTTTTCATTTGGCTAACTGGATTCAGGGGGAGAGAAACTGCCACGACGGACGGACGGACGAGAGACAGACGGTAACGCCAGAGCCGGTGGGTGGGTGGGTGGACGGCATGGCTTGTATGTTCTCTCCACGGCAGCTGACACGGTGATTTTCTTCCTCTTTGGCGCTTTCCATATCTTCTTTCTCTTCGGTTGCTGGGCTCAAGGGAAGGGCCAATTCTTACCTTGCACAGGTTTAGGTTGAAATAGCTCTGGGAGGGGTCTGAAGGCCCCGGAGTCCCCCCACCATCACCACACACACAATGCACCCAGAACAACTCGCTTACCAGCAGTGGGATCCTACCTGTTCCACTACCGGTTTGGTGATCACACATGTGCGTGCAGCTTTCCCCCCACCAGCTGAGGCTCTGCAGCGCCAATCAGCTGAGAGGAGAAAGAAGAAAAAAGCACAGGGGCCGGTGAGAGGGCCGATCCTGCGCTTTTCTCTTCTTTCTTCTCTCAGCTGATCGTTGGAGGCTTTTTTCCCTCCTCTCAGCTGATCATTGGAGCCTTTTTTCCCTCCTCTCAGCTGATCGTCAGGCTTTTTCCCTCAGCTGATCGTCGGAGGCTTTTTCCCTCCTCTCAGCTGATCATTGGAGCCTTTTTTCCCTCCTCTCAGCTGATCATTGGAGCCTTTTTTCCCTCCTCTCAGCTGATCGTCAGGCTTTTTCCCTCAGCTGATCGTCGGAGGCTTTTTCCCTCCTCTCAGCTGATCATTGGAGCCTTTTTTCCCTCCTCTCAGCTGATCATTGGAGCCTTTTTTCCCTCCTCTCAGCTGATCGTCAGGCTTTTTCCCTCAGCTGATCGTCGGAGGCTTTTTCCCTCCTCTCAGCTGATCATTGGAGCCTTTTTTCCCTCCTCT